CATCTGCGCTACATCCACACTCATTCATGCATCCCAGTTTTATAATGTTTTTCTTCTTGTCGTTTTTAGTATTACCAGCCCATTGCTGGTAACCCATATATATATATATATATATATATATATATATATATATATATATATATATATATATATATATATATATATATATATATATATGTCATCTAGAATAGGTAAAGCTTGCGATTTTGGCTTAATTAGCTCTTCTTGCTGAATAAGGCAAGCAAAAATTTGTGTATGCAGTAATTTCACAAAAATGATTCTGAACTTAATGAATATATATATATATATATATATATATATATATATATATATATATATATATATATATATATATATATATATATATATATATATATATATATATATATATATTTCATTCTGTTTGTTTATTATTAAATTATTGTAAACTTATCTAAAATATATTTAGTTGGATTAGGCTAAATTAAATTGTGCTTGTTATAATAAGGTTAGGTAAGTTTTCTAAGGTTCTTTTGGTACAAAATTATTAATTTTTACATTAACATAAATGAAAAAAATATATCTTTAAATGTATAAGAGAAAATTTTAGAAAGGACATAATTTATATGAGTTCTTGCTAATTGACCAGTTTACCTATTCGGCACGACATATAGATTTTATATCTATATATCATTTCGGTATTTTAATGATCTTTTTGAGAATATTTTGTGTTGTGATGGACCTGGGTACAGAGATGGAGGCTACTGGACGACTAGTGACTACTGGAGACGAGGCTACACGTCGTGGTGAATGTTGTGACAGTGAGATGATGATGATGATGAGTGAGATGATGAGTGAGATGATGATGAGTGAGATGATGAGTGAGATGATGATGAGTGAGATAATGATGGTGATGACTAACATTTACCACTTGTACTGAACCATCACTACTTCCTTCACCTCAACACTAACTGTTGTTGCCAGCTGACACCTAGTTCCTCTCCACCCACACTACCCACCCACCCTCACCACCCACAACATCCACTCGCCCTTCCGCTCACACCACCCACCCATCCTCACCTCCCACCCACACTCATCCACCCTCCTGCCCACACCACAAACCCACCCTCACAACCCACCCACAACACCTACTCACCCTCCCACCCACACCAGCCCACCCACCCACTCACCCTCCCATCCACCCATCACTCACCCACCCACTCACCCTCCCATCCACCCATCACCCATACCCACTCACCCTCCCGCCTACACCAGCCCACCCTCACCACCAAAAAAAAAATCGCCCTTCCGCCCACACCACCCGCCGTCCTCACCGCTCACTTATCCTCCCGCCCACACAAGCCCACCCTCACCACCCACTCACCCTCTCGCCCACCACTCACCCATCCTCACCACCCACTTACCCTCCCACCCAGACCAACCCACCCTCACCACCCACCCACACCTACTCACCCTTCCACACTCACCTTCCCGCCCACACCACCAGCCCACGATCACCACCCACCCACTCGCTCTCTAGCCCACACCAGCCCACCCCCCCATCCACAGTACCCACCCATCTTCACCCACCCACAATACCCACTCTTGCCCACACCACCAGCCCACTCTCCTCCCGCCCACAGTAACCTACCCTCTCATCCACACCACACACCCGGCCACACCAACAGCCTATTCCAAACTCCAATCCGCCCTACCGCCCACTTTTCCAGCCCATCCTATCGCTCACACAACCTCACAATTCCGCCTACATATCCGTCGGTCCATCTTTCCCACATTACCCGCTGTGGTATTGGGATGGGTGTGGTCTGTGGGCAGGGTATAGGTTCACTATAAGCTGGATGATGGCTGGGTTTAGGTGTGTGGGTGAGGTAAGGGCGGAGTGTGGGTGAGGTGAGGGGGGAGTGTGAGCGGGGGTTGGATGTGAGGGTGGAGTGTGGGCGGGGAAGGATGTGAGGGTGGAGTGTGGGCGGGGTTGGGTGGGGGTGGAGTGTGGGCGGGGTTGGGTGGGGTGGAGTGTGGGCGGGGTTAGGTGGGGGTGGAGTGTGGGCGGGGTTGGGTGGGGGTGGAGTGTGGGCGGGGTTGGGTGGGGGTGGAGTGTGGGCGGGGTTGGGTGGGGGTGGAGTGTGGGCGGGGTTGGGTGGGGGTGGAGTGTGGGCGGGGTTGGGTGGGGGTGGAGTGTGGGCGGGGTTGGGTGGGGGTGGAGTGTGGGCGGGGTTGAGTGTGAGGGTGCAGTGTGGGCGGGGTTGGGTGGGGTGGAGTGTGGGAGGGGTTGGGTGGGGGTGGAGTGTGGGCGGGGTTGGGTGGGGGTGGAGTGTGGGCGGGGTTGGGTGGGGGTGGAGTGTGGGCGGGGTTGGGTGGGGGTGGAGTGTGGGCGGGGTTGGGTGGGGGTGGAGTGTGGGCGGGGTTGGGTGGGGGTGGAGTGTGGGCGGGATTGAGTGTGAGGGTGCAGTGTGGGCGGGGTTGGGTGGAGTGTGGGCGGGGTTGGGTGGGGGTGGAGTGTGGGCGGGGTTGGGTGGGGTGCAGTGTGGGCGGGGTTGGGTGGGGGTGGAGTGTGGGCGGGGTTGGGTGGGGGTGGAGTGTGGGCGGGGTTGGGTGGGGGTGCAGTGTGGGCGGGGTTGGGTGGGGGTGGAGTGTGGGCGGGGTTGGGTGGGGGTGGAGTGTGGGCGGGGTTGGGTGGGGGTGGAGTGTGGGCGGGGTTGGGTGGGGGTGGAGTGTGGGCGGGGTTGGGTGGGGTGGAGTGTGGGCGGGGTTGGGTGGGGTGCAGTGTGGGCGGGGTTGAGTGGGGGTGCAGTGTGGGCGGGTTGGGTGGGGTGCAGTGTGGGGGGTTGGGTGGGGGTGGAGTGTGGGCGGGGTTGGGTGGGGGTGGAGTGTGGGCGGGGTTGGGTGGGGGTGGAGTGTGGGCGGGGTTGGGTGGGGGTGGAGTGTGGGCAGGGTTGAGTGTGAGGGTGCAGTGTGGGCGGGGTTGGGTTGGGTGGAGTGTGGGCGGGGTTGGGTGGGGGTGGAGTGTGGGCGGGGTTGGGTGGGGTGGAGTGTGGGCGGGGTTGGGTGGGGGTGGAGTGTGGGCGGGTTGGGTGGGGGTGGAGTGTGGGCGGGGTTGGGTGGGGGTGCAGTGTGGGCGGGGTTGGGTGGGGGTGGAGTGTGGGCGGGGTTGGGTGGGGGTGGAGTGTGGGCGGGGTTGGGTGGGGTGGAGTGTGGGCGGGGTTGGGTGGGGTGGAGTGTGGGCGGGGTTGGGTGGGGTGGAGTGTGGGCGGGGTTGGGTGGGGTGCAGTGTGGGCGGGGTTGAGTGGGGGTGCAGTGTGGGCGGGGTTGGGTGGGTGCAGTGTGGGCGGGGTTGGGTGGGGGTGGAGTGTGGGCGGGGTTGGGTGGGGGTGGAGTGTGGGCGGGGTTGGGTGGGGGTGGAGTGTGGGCGGGGTTGGGTGGGGGTGGAGTGTGGGCAGGGTTGAGTGTGAGGGTGCAGTGTGGGCGGGGTTGGGTGGGGTGGAGTGTGGGCGGGGTTGGGTGGGGGTGGAGTGTGGGCGGGGTTGGGTGTGTGGGTTAAGTAACGGTAGCGGGTGGAGTGTGGGCGGGGTTGGGTGTGTGGGTTAAGTAACGGTAGCGGGTGGACCACCTGGGTTGGAGTGAAGACTGTGCGGTTCTTCTGGGCTGGTCGAGGCCGGATAACGGAGCCGGTTACGTCCTCCTGGCTTACAAGACTGCTGTCAGGCAGGTGGGGGAGGCAGGTGGGAGAGGGAGGCACTAGAGGGAGGTGGGAGAGGAAGATAGGAGAGGGAGGTGAGAGAGGAAGATGGGAGAGGGAGAGGAAGATAGAGGAGGGACGTGAGAGAGGGGGAAAAGGTACCTTCGAAGCCAACAGTAACTTTGAAGGGACAAGAGCTATATCTACGCTTGTATTGTGTGAAGGGAAGGTGATTATAAAGATGCGGGTGACGTTGCAGACTGTGTCGCATGCAGAATTTAGTTGAATGCGACCATTTTGTCACTTATGTAGCCAGCAGTAACAACCTGGTTGATCAGACCCTGATCCACCGCGATGCCTGGTCATGGCCTGGACCGCGGGGGCGTTGACCCCCGGATCACCCTCCAGGTATACTCCAGGTAACACCATTTAAGGGTACAGCGCTACATTCGCACACACTCGAAGCCTAGGGTACGATTCCTGCTCAGATTTTTAGGACTCCCCGGAGTAAGTTGTTGTATTTTCTTCATCTCTGCTGTATTGAGCTAGGTGTCAACTAATGTAGATGTACAGGTATAGTTTCACCCACCCGCCTTGCCATCTCTCCAAGTTTCTATGGTAATTTCAGCAGGATGCTTCTTCCTGTCGATCTACGCAACTATGGCAACTCCCTCAGTGTTGGGCATCCAACTGTTGCAAGGTTTTTCTTGATGATGCCTTGTAATTTTTCCTTCCCATCTATGGCAAACAGGACTATGGTATCCGAATTGTTTTATTGCTTCAGATACTTTTATGTTCAGTGTGGAAAGGGATGGCAAGACAAAGAGAAACATCAGTGCAAATGGTCCGAGGGGTCTAGGCGTGTACATAGAGAGAAATTAGGAAGAGCCAGTACAAAAGCCCCTGCATCAAGCCCTCTTACTGACAGAGGGAAAGCTTTGTCCTTCGCAACCAACTCTCGAACATTGCTGAGGCTATATTCTCCACTATTATGCTATCCCAGTGTGACTGCTTGTAGTTGTGGAAGGAAATTGATGTGGTTAAAGAGCCTTGAGGGGGGAGGGAGAGGAGGTCAGGAGGTAGAGTGAATCCTCAGCCTGAATCAAACCTGGAGGTTACCTGGAGGTCATTCCGGGGATCAACGCCCCCGAGGCCCGGTCCATGACCAGGCCTCCCGGTGGATCAAGGCCTGATCCTGATTATTTCCCATTCCAAACTTTCTGTATAATCCCTACGGGGTTAGCACTTCCCTGTGATTATAGTTAATTAATTAATAAAATAATAATAATCCCTTCTACATATATTATCTGACTCTATTTCCCAGCGAGGTCAACGATGGTGCAGCGCAGGGCATCAAAGTCAATGCCAGCGATGACCTCCCGGATCAGAGAGGTCGAGGGTCACTCGAGGGCTCACAGAAGAGTCCCCAGTCCACGTAGGAGATCACCTCGACGCGAGGACTTCCAGAGGACCTCAAGGGCCCCGGCCAGGTCCTCCAGGGAGGTGTCAGAAGTCCTTAGAAGTAGGAGTAGCGGGCCCGTCTGCTGTTCTAGGTGCAGGAGCAGGAGGTCTGCTTCACCTGTCAGGTGCCCCACTCATAGACACGGGAGGGCTACTTCACCCGTCAGGTGCACCGTTCATTCACCCACTCGCAGGCACAGGTAAGAGACGGGCAAGCAAGCTCACCCTCAAGGCCAGAAATCAGTGAAACAGTGTGATAAGAGTTAAAGGGGGTACAGGAGCTATGAATCAACTCCTGTAGACAGAATTAGAGGAGTACAGTTAGGCGAACACACACTTAGACGTATACAAATAGGTAGGCACAAGACGCATACCCACACAAAAGGTAAAGAACAAGAAAGTGAAAGCAGAGAACGCCGTAGAACAGGGAAGCAAACAGAAGAGGCAGAAACGAATACGCATGGGTAAGAAGAGAGGCTGAAGGATAGTGTGAGAATGACATAGTGTCGAAAGCCATATCTGAACCAGAGTTGTTATCCAGCCACATCGTAAAGAAGACACCTGTGAAAGACCAGTCAGTAGGCTAAAGAAAGGAAGAGGAGAGCTTACCATGAATGACCAGGAAGTCTGCATATAGTCGAACAGAAGATTTAGGGAGGTATTCTCAGTGGAATCAATCAGGAACACTGCCAGAAAGTCAAAAAAAAGAAAGTACAAATACACACAACGGGGAAAGAGGGAAGGAAACTACTGAGTGAGCTAGATACTTCGAAGACAATGGGACTAGTCAACATCTCTCCCTGGGTTCTGAGAGAGTGAGCTGAGGAACTCTGTGAACCATCAGCAGCGGTCTACAAGTCAATGCAAACATAGCAAATGACTGCGTATGGAGAGCAGTGAACGTAATCCTAATACTTAAAAAAAAGGGCCAGATAGGTAGCAGTAAACTACAGGCCAGGGTCACCTTATATGCATAGTATATAAGGTTATGAAGAAGATTATCAGGAGAAGAGTAGAGAACCTTTAAGTGAGCAAATTCGTAAATAAGAGACAGCACGGTTTTAGAAGTAAATAAAATACTGTCACAAAAATCTGCTCGAGTTCTGTGATGAGGTACAATATTGATGTCTCTGTTGTATTAGGTAGATTATATGTAAGATTATTAAAGATTACTATTTATATTATCTTATATGATAAAATGCAATGTCATAATATACCTAACTTTGCCCGCTGGGTTGTGAAAAAGACCCATTGTGGCCAATGTAATTTTGTGTGCTAAAGCTCACATGAAACTAGCAGCACAAGCTGCACAAAGTAAAAGAAAAAAATGAGTATTTGACAGGCAGAGTCAGGAGCTGAGACTCGATTTTGCAACTATATCACAAGTGCACATCATCCTAATATCTTCAAAATAATAAAACAAAATACTTTTACACTAAACCCATGTTCATATATATATATATATATATATATATATATATATATATATTATATATATATATAATATATTTAGGCATACATGTGTGCAATAAATAACCATTTGCACAGAGCACTGGAGGAAAGGAACAGCATCAGCAGCACAGAACCAATACTGAACGAGCGACACAGAGAAGATGAGGAGTACAGCAGAGCAAGGAGACACAGAGTGTTTGAGAGAGAGCCCAGGGCAGAGGATGAGGGTTACCACAAGAAGACAATAGGTAGTAGAGTGTGTAAGGCAGCTAAGTTGGTGTCCGGCTTCCTTATATCGATGGGACTCGTACTTGTGGTAAGTACTGACCTCATACTTTTTAACTCACCACAAGACAGAACTATATAATTTTTCAAATATCATCAATATTAAGGTGTGTATCTGTTCAGGTGAATGCACATGTTAATGTTAATGCTAGTATATATTATATATAATATATATATATATATATATATATATATATATAAAATATTAATATATATATATATATATATATGTCGTGCCGAATATGTAAAACTGGTCAGTTAGCAAGAACTCATTTAAAATTAAGTCCTTTCTGAAATTTTCTCTTATACGTTTAAAGATATATTTTTTTCATTAATGTTAATGTAAAAATTTTATTTTGCACCAAAAGAATCTTAGAAAACTTGCCTAACCTTATTATAAGAAGAGCAATTTATTTTAGCCTAACCCAACTAAATATATTTTAAATACTTTAAAAATAATTTAGTACTAAACAAACACAATCAAATATATTTTTTTCGTTAGGTTCAGAATGATTTTTGCGAAATTATTGCATACACAATTTTCACTTGTTCCTATATGGCAAGATGAGCGTTGCTATTTAAGCCAAGATAGCAAATCTGCCTTTTCGGCACGACACACACACACACACACACACACACACACCCCACACACACACACCCCACACACACCACACACACCACACACACACACACACACCACACACAAAATTATATATAGGATTAACAAGTTAAGAAAGTAGAGAACAAATGGATTTGGTCAGTTAAAAATTAGGAGAGGAGAGTTATTAAATGGAGAGTTAGGGGTATTGGGAAGAGGGAAAGGGAATATTTTGGGGAAATTTGTTAAATGTTGAGAAGATAGGGAAGCTGTGATTTCGTGTATAGGGCAAGGAGGAATAACATCTTGTAGGAGTGAGGAAGAGCCAGTTGTGAGTGTGGGGGAAGTTCGTGAGGCAGTAGGAAAAATGAAAGGGGAAAGGCACCCGGGGATTGATGGGATAAAGATAGAAATGTTAAAAGCAGGGGGGGATATAGTTTTGGAGTGGTTGGTGCAATTATTTAATAAATGTATGGAAGAGGGTAAGGTACCTAGGGATTGGCAGAGAACATGCTATTTTCCTTTGTATAAAGCAAAGGGGATAAAAGAGGGGTGCAAAAATTATAGGGGGATAAGTCTGTTGAGTGTACCTGGTAAAGTGTAGGGTAGAGTTATAATTGAAAGAATTAAGAGTAAGACGGAGAATAGGATAGCAGATGAACAAGGGGCTTTGGGAAAGGTAGGGGGTGTGTGGACCAGGTGTTTACAGTGAAACATATAAGTGAACAGTTTTTAGATAAGGCTAAAGAGGTCTTTGTGGCATTTATGGATTTGGAAAAGGCGTATGACAGGGTGGATAGGGGGGCAATGTGGCAGATGTTGCAAGTGTAATGGTGTAGGAGGTAGTTACTGAAAGCAGTGAAGAGTTTTTACGGGATAGTGAGGCTCAAGTTAAGTATGTAGGAAAGAGGGAAATTTTTTCCCAGTAAAAGTAGGCCTTAGACAAGGATGTGTGATGTCACCGGGGTTGTTTAATATATTTATAGAGGGGGTTGTAAGAGAAGTAAATGCGAGGGTCTTGGCAAGAGGCGTGGAGTTAAAAGATAAAGAATCACACACAAAGTGGGAGTTGTCACAGCTGCTCTTTGCTGATACACTGTGCTCTTGGGAGATTCTGAGAGAAGTTGCAGAGTTTGGGTTTGGATGAATTTGGTAGGGTGTGCAAAAGAAGAAAAATTAAAGGTGAATACAGGAAAGAGAAAGGGGTTATGAGGATAACAAAAAGATTAGGTGATGAAAGATTGAATATCAAGATTGGAGGGAGAGATTTATGGAGGAGGTGAAGTATTCAGATATTTGGGGAGTGGACGTGTCAGGGGGGGGGGGGTCTATGAAAGATGAGGTGAATCATAGAATTGATGAGGGAAAAAGAGTGAGGTGGGCACTTGGAGTCTGTGGAGACAAAGAACTTTGTCCTTGGAGGCAAAGAGGGGAATGTATGAGAGTATAGTTTTACCAACGCTCTTATATGGGTGTGAAGCGTGGGTGATGAATGTTGCAGCGAGGAGAAGGCTGGAGGCAGTGGAGATGTCATGTCTGAGGGGAATGTGTGGGTAAATTAATGCAGAGAATTTTGTAGTTTGGAAGTAGGAGGAGGTGCGGGATTTCCAAACTGTTGTCCAGAGGGGTGAGGAAGGTTGTTGAGGTGGTTCGGACATGTAGAGAGAATGGAGCGAAACAGAATGACTTCAAGAGTGTATCAGTCTGTAGTGGAAGGAAGGCGGGGGAGGGGGCGGCATAGGAAGGGTTGGAGGGAGGGGGTTAAAGGAGGTTTTGTGGCGAGGGGCTTGGACTTCCAGCAGGCATGCGTGAGCGTGTTTGATAGGAGTGAATGGAGGACAAATGGTTTTTAATACTTGACGTGCTGTTGGAGTGTGAGCAAAGTAACATTTATGAAGGGATCAGGGGAAAACCCGGGAGGCCGGACTTGAGTCCTGGAGATGGGAAGTACAGTGCCTGCACTCTGAAGGAGGGGTGTTAATGTTGCAGTTTAAAAACTGTAGTGTAAAGCACCCTTTTGGCAAGACAGTGATGGAGTGAATGATGGTGAAATTTTTTCTTTTTCGGGCCACCCTGCCCTTTGGGGGAATCGGCCGGTGTGATAATAAAAAAATAAAAATAAAAATATAATATTTAAAATATATTAAATATATATAAAATATATATATATATATATATATATAATATATATATATATATTTATATATATATATATATATACTGTGTATATAGTGTAATCACGAACGAGTGGTATTTAATCAAAAACAACACTGCAGCTAGCCAGGGGATCAAACCTGTGTTGTTTTAGCCCACCTCATGGTGAGCGAAAATTCATGACGCTCTAACCCACTGAACCATACAATCTTACAGAGATCATGCACCCAGCAGAGCTAGGTGTTGTACAGTGATCCGAGGACGTACGATGGTGTGAGTGCTTCAGAGCTAATTTTATTTTACTCCCCTTTTGGTGTACTAGCTGTGGAAAATATTGTATATTTTCCGAAAATACAGTGTATTTTGTATGTAAATTAGTAAAATACATTGTAGTAATAGAAATTAATTTGTAAATAAAAAAAGAACCAACGATAGTGTTAACGTCGCTTGGGGGAGAGGCTATGTTTTGAACTGGGCAAGACAGACGTTAGTGAAAATCGGAAGAATTTTCGTCGCTGTAGAGGTTAAATTGTGTTTAAAACATCTCAAATAGGAGCAGAAATTGTTGTAGGTACAGTCGTGCAGAATGTGAGAAACCAACAATTGGACAGGACTCCGAAATTAGATGGGAAAAGAGATAATAAGTACACCATCCCCCAGATAAGTAGTGTCTTTATATGTTGAAATTTCTGGCCAGTAGTTTCTTCATATTTTAGGCAGGGGGTTGTGGAGGACACACCAAGTAGTCTCCAGACAAATTGGTGAGTGTTATTAATATAAATTCTCCTGATTTATAAATTATGTATTCACTAACTCAATTTAACATACAGTCCATATAATTTATATTAATAGTTTACCAGAATTACTGGTGACATTTATTTCATTGAAATTAATATAGGTCCAGAGTGACTTGTGGGATTGTATGAGGGTAGTTGTTGGATGGGAGACATTCTCTGGTGACCTTGGGTGTCTCAAAATATTCTACATGCCTCAGAGTTGTAACACTTGGTAAGAAATAATTATCTTTGTTACTTTATTATTTATTTATTTATTATTTGTTATTTTATTAGGTAGTAGGTTGGTAGACAGCAACCACCCAGGGAGGTACTACCGTCCTGCCAAGTGAGTGTGAAACGAAAGCCTGTAATTGTTTTGCATGATGGTAGGATTGCTGGTGTCTTTTGTCTGTCTCATAAATATGCAAGACTACAGGTACGTCTCGCTACTTCTACTTACACTTAGGTCACACTACACATACATGTACATGTTTATTTATACACACTCATCTGAGTTTTCTTTGATTTTTATCTTAATAGTTCTTGGTCTTATTACTTTTCCTTTTATATCCATGGGGAAGTGGAATAAGAATCTTTCCTCCGTAAGCCATGCGTGTTGTAAAAGTCAACTAAAATGCCGGGGGAAAAATGGGCTAAAACCCCCCTTTTTCCCGTAATAATTACTAAAAAAATAAGAAGAAGAAAATTGTCAAAGTGGGAAGTCTGAATGTGTGTGGATGTTGTGCGAATGATAAGAAAGAGATGATTGTGGATGTTATGAATGAGAAGAAGCTGGATGTCCTGGCTTTAAGTGAAACAAAGCTGAAGGGGGTGGGAGAGTTTCAGTGGAGAGTATAAAAGGGATTAGGTCAGGGGTTTCAAATAGAGTTAGAGCTAAAGAAGGAGTAGCAATAATGAAGGATAAGCATGGCAGGAAAAAGGGGACTACACATGTATTAATTCAAGGATATGTGGAGTTTAAAAAAAAGGTTGGATGTGAAAAGTGGGGTTTTAGTAAGCGTATATGCACATGGAGAAGAGAGAAGTGTAGAAAGGAGAGAGGGATTTGGGAAATGTTGAGTGAATGTGTGGGGAGTTTTGAACCAAGTGTGAGAGTAAATGGTGGTTGGGGATTTCAATGCTAAAGTAGGCAAAAATGTTGTGAGGGGGGTAGTAGGTAATTTTGGGGTGGCAGGGGTAAATGAAAATGGGAAGCCTTTAAAATTTAGCTATGTGTAGAAAGGGTTTGGTAATAAGTAATACATATTTTATGAAGAAGAGGATAAATAAATATGCAAGGTATGATATAGCACGTAATGAAAGTAGTTTGTTAGATTATGTACTGGTAGATAAAAGGTTGATGGATAGGCTCCAGGATGTACACGTTTATAGAGGGGCAACTGATATATCGGATCATTATTTAGTTGTAGCTACAGTTAGAGTAAGAGGTAGATGAGAAAAGAGGAAAATGGCAACAACAAGCAAGAGGGAGGTGAAAGTGTATAAACTAATGGAGGAGGAAGTTCGGGTGAGATATAAGCAACTATTGGCAGAAAGGTGGGCT